TCAGAGGCTTTAGCCTGATTTTTTGGTCGATTCCAATGGCGATCTTGGCTGGTCTTACTCTCGCTGGAACTGGTAGGATTGGGACCGTTATCACTTTTATCCTCGCTGACGAAACCTCACAATCATAAATGAAAGCTTAGGAGCTTGAACTTGGGGATGAACCAAAGCTTTAGTAGGCGACACCCTTGCTGATGCCTTTTCAAAATTCTGTTTGGTTGATGCTACAGGTTTCTTGTCTTTAGAAGAGGATTCTTCTGCACCTCTCTCCCTTGCTTTAGTCACTTTTGCTGAAACATTGGAAGAATAATTTGCTTTTGACTTTTGAGAGGTAGCAAGAACCTCCTTCTTGTTGGTTGTGGCCTTTGCAGCGTCTTTTTCGCCTATCTCCCATTTTTGAGAAGAAGAAGCGCGCCCATGTTCTTTGGATTTCACTGCTGAAATTTTTTAAGCATCTTTCTCTATTGTCTTGGATATTTTGGGAGTCGCTGCCAGCTCGTCACGCCTTGTGTTCTTTTTATAATAGTAACCTTGGTGCTCTTGCTCGAAAAGTTCCTGAATCTTCTTGACCACCAGTCTAAATACTCTTTTGTAACTAGGGGGCTTTCTTTGGACAAGCGGGCTGGTATCACTACTTTAGAACCAGTGCCTAAGCGAGTACAAGAAAACCATAGCTGGATAACTTCCTTCAAGGTGCCGGTGTGAAGCTCTTTCTTTAGATTACCAGGAATATCTTGACAAAAACCAAATTGCCTGCTGAACCTGCAGGGACTATAAGTTTCAATGACATGCTCGTTGTCGCACCGGAAGATCAAGAAGCTTGAACGAAGGTTGATAAAGTAATCACTCCAATAAGTGGACAGATTTCCATCGTCAACTACAATCAATTGTTTGTCTTTGGACATGCAAGAATTCGGCAAATCTGATTGGTTGACGTCTTGAAAAATGTTGTGGGCCTCTAAAGCATTAAAATACTTGGCCATTCTCTCACCAGCAAGTTTGATCATTTGGGCACCAGAACGAAGCCGGCTATGGTGGTGGTGAGTCTCAAAGTACTGCCCGAGCCAAACATAGACATAATGAATTGGAAAGACAGCTTTGCGCTCCTTTAGGTTTGAAGAGGAAACAAGCTGTCTCAAACCATTATAGATGCTGGCAAGGACCGGCCAAAGAAAATCTCTGCCCGCAGGCCGCTTGCTACTTTGAAGACAAAACGGCCGGATGCGATTGACTTCTTTATGTGGCAGAACTAATTTGCAAAGCCAACAAGACAAAAGTGCTGCTAAACCCTTCATTCCATCCAGCCTACTCCTTCCATCTTTTTTGTATCAGATACTTTTTTTTAATATATTTCCCAGCTTTTACCTTGAAAACTTCCTGGTTGTATAATTTCATTCTTTAAGAATTACAGGGAAGCATCAGCAGCCTCTGAAGATCAAAACCACCACTGGTACTGACATTGTACTCAAAGCAATTTCTTTTTTCTTTTTTTTTATTGATGCTTGGAAAAACTTCCAAGCTGCCTACGTACCCCGTAAAGGAGATCAAGTCATAACGTAGTTCACTTTGATTTGGGCCGTTCACAGTTTTAGCTCATGCGGGCCGGGAGTATCCAATGACAAGTTCCTAAAGCCTTACTATCCCTTAAAGCCTCACAGCCGGAAGACTTTCTCTGTGCCTACATACCGAATCAGACAAGTGAATAAATCGGTGGTATGTTCTTCTTCACGTGATCGTGCTCTAGACCTATGGGACTAAGAACCACGTTTCGGGGTCTTGCACTCACTCCCTTTACGACCAAGATCAGGAGCTATTCATAGAGCCGGGGTGACCCCGCCTAGGTCAGCGGAGAAATCCATTACAGAATGGCTTTGACTTGTAGCAGCAAGATAGGCTGGCTTTGTTCCTGAGGCACATACCTAAAAAAGGGTACCGCCAGCCACATAGCACAAGCTGGGGTATCTTACCCGACAAAGTTAGATTTCATAAGGAAATGCCTACAACTAAGTATATAAGACCAGGCAATCAAATTGGACAGTTTTTTTATACCTATGTCCGTCAAAGCCCTATTTTAGCCTACTATATTATATGGAATAAGATATCCGGTAACCTTTTGTAGCTCTTTCTATCTAACATACTCCCTTTCTCACGAAGCAAAAACAGATTCTTTGGTTGCAGTGGCACTTCCAGACACCGGATTCCCATACACAAGGGATAGGGATGAGCCAGACCTTAAAGATAGGCATACGTCGGCGTAGAAAGAAGAGATCCATGTTCTACAAAGATAGTCGGGCCTAGCTAATCCACTCACTCAGAAGAAGAAAGAGCACCCGAACCAAGATCTGTTGAAGGAAATCGAGACTATTTGAGGTCTGCCAAAGGTGCTGAAAAGCGCAGCATTTCCCTGGTAAGAAAACGGGGCTTCTATTTCATTCAATTTGACCCTTTTGTGGACACACCCTGGGGGTTGGAACCTCTTGCTCTTATGCTAAGGCAGAGGCTTTCTCAATGGCTTGCGTGGATTCGCATGCTTCGGATGCTGGTCTAGCTTACACCAGACGAGACGAAGGGAAAGAAAGCGCCAGCGGCACGTGCTTCGAAAGCTGGGCTTGGAGCTATATCTCCAGGTCTCAGTCTAGACGCTCTAACCGATGGCAGGAATTCTATCCTTTGTGATCCTTCCTATGCGATTCACTAGAGAAGCTACTCTTAGTTAGAGTAGGCTCCTATCCATCAATTGTTATGGCAGTCCAGTCAAGCTTGAGCAGTATCCGTAACTGGGGCTATCAGAGGTCCCCCTATTCAAGTTCTACAAGGTCTAAGGTTCGGAGATACGGGAATGAAAGAAAGAAAACTAAGTAAAACTCACCTCTTCCGTAAAGAAAGGCAGGTAGCAAAGGTGTCCGTGGATTCTTCGGCTAGGTGTCCATCCACCCGCATTATCCGTTGAAATACCATCCGAGGAGAGTGCACTACCAACAGCAGCAGGCAGGGAGGTTTTGAACCCCGTATGTGAAAGGTGGACAAAGCAAAGAAGAGCTTGAGGGCCAGGCTGAACATGTGGACAGTTCATGACAACCCCTCCTACCTCTGAAGGCAGTCGAGGGAAGCGGGTTATGGGATGGGCGGCTAAGGACCGGGGAGCAGAAAAGGGTCAAACATCGACAGGGAGAAAGACGCAGGGTCTTTCCTTTCCTACCGATTGGCAATGATATCTCTTTCTTCTGCCATTGCGAGACATTACAGCGCTTACATATGTTGATGGGCTTCCTCTCCTATTACTGGATAAGAAACTTCCTCTAGGACTTATGGCTACCACTTGTGACAGAAGTTTTCAAGCAGGGATCCACAAACTTTTGCAGACTAACGGAAAGAAGCGCAGCTGAAGGTAGGATCGAGGAGCTAACGATCAGACTGTCCTTGTGGTACAAGCCGAGTAATCAGACACCTAGTAATTGACCTTCGTCAGATACTAGTTCTCTCTGTCATTGTGGAGTAGAGGCTAGTTCGGGCAGGTTGCTCTCTTATGTCATTCTTACAAGCAAGAGAAAGGGCGGGTCGAGAAAAAGTAGATAGGAATACGGTCCACTGTCCTGTAACTGAGGGGAAGGAGTTGTCCTCAGATCCCTTTTAGCTACTCCGTCAAATAGCTCAACTGATGCCCAGCCCACGCTGCGCACCCCGGGGCTGTTCGCAATGGCGCTGTCGGGATTCACGCTTCGAGAGATCGATAGTGCAATTAAGCCCTAAGAAATCCTTTCAAGATCTTCGCCGGGAAGCGAAGCGGACCTAACCTCGGTCTTCGACATAACCGAAACCTCCTGCTTTTGCTTGTCGGAGGCCGTAACGTAAATCGCTTTCTTGAGCTTGCATACCAAGTTAGGATTCCTAGGAGAAGAGAAGCCTGTAGTTGGAGGAGGCTGAATTGAAATTCTTTCGGATCCCCCCTTCCCTTATGTTGTTGAAAGGCATTCTTCACGTCAAATTGAAATAAGGCCACCTTTTGATTGCAGCCAAGGCAAGAATGCCACGAATGGTGTTTAGCAACCTGGAGCAAATGTTTTCCCTATCTCTAAAAGGGTTCGACTTGAAGGAATCCTTTAGCTACTAATCTAGCTTTGTATCTCTCTACCGAGCCATCTGCTTTATGCTTGATCTTGTAAATCCACTTGCAGCCAATGGCTTCTTTCCCTGCAGGCAATGAGACTAAGTCTTATTATTTTTTTCCTGGGCATTGATTTCTTCCTGTATAGCATCTCTCCAGCAAGAATGATTGGAGGCTTCAGCAAATGATTCAGGTTCATGAGAAGATTGAACTGACATGAGGTAAGCTCGATCTTTTGGGGAAAACGATATATAAGATAAGATCAAAATCCTTCAACAGGATAAGAAACTTGAGAGGATCGACGAACCTGAGAGAGGGATCCAGAATCTGAGGAAGCGACTGGAAGGGAAGGAACTGGGCTAGACTGCTGATCTTCTGGAGTAGCCTGACCCTGGGAAAGAGACTGTAATCGCCGCCGAGAATAAACATGCTGTGCCGGGTGACTGGAATCCTCTGAGGTCAGCTGAACAGGCTGACAATCGGCAGAAAATGCTGAGCAAAGCTGCTGGCCTGAAGAGTGAGGCTGATCCGTAACATCAACTGCAGAAGAATGAGGTTCGAGTTGATGAACAGGAGAAGGCCGCAATACATCTCCATCATCATTCTCCCCCGGGGCTGATTAATTAGGTTAAGGAAAATATGAGGCGACTCCATTAAAGAGAGCATTAAGGATAGATGGAGTCTCTTGGATTTCACGTCATATCATCTATACCCGGACTGAGCATATCCAAGAAAGACACAAGTGGTTGCCTTGGGGACAATTTTTCTATTAACTGCGCAGGAATATGAACAAAACACGTGCATCCAAACACTCGAAAATGCCTATAGTACTGCCCCAGTAAGAAGTTCGTGAGGCTGGATGGAATGAAGCTTCTTCCCTCTCTCTTCCCCCAAAAAAAGGAGAGAGATGTCCCGTCCCTTCTTTATGCACATCCATATACATAGCCAGACACAAAGGTGTACAATCCGGTCAAAATCTGCGGTTCTTTAAGTTCATTCACTGTAGGTTCTCTTACTTGTTCTAGTGGCTGGCAAAGGCCAACCGAGAGGGGAGAACGAATGGCTTAGGAATCGACCGGTTCCGAGCAGACTCGTGGAGCTGCAGCTTGGATTATCGTAGAATAAGAGGGGCCGCCTTAGCTTAGGAAATGACTTATAATAACTTAAAAGACAGATGCCGCCGCTGCGAGGCGAGGGAGCAACTTGTCTGGTTTTTCGGTGCACTCATTCCCCTTACGAGAATGAAATGAGGCCCCAGCTTGACTCGAGACCAAGACTCCTTACAACTCGCACCAATAGCGGCACTGAGCGGCCGGAGATTGATTGAAAAGGCAGCCCCTCTCCCCCCCTAGCCGCCTACCTACTCGTGTTCGTAGCTCGATCGGAGGTCAAGACTGTGGTCCGGCGGAAAAACAGAAGTCATCCGTATCAAGTGATACGTGAATTGCTCAGTAGTGCTTCGCCACTACCGTAGCTGGCGGAAATAGCTTAATGGTAGAGCATAGCCTTGCCAAGGCTGAGGTTGAGGGTTCAAGTCCCTCCTTCCGCTCCTGGCTTCGTCGTTTAGTGGTAACGAGTTTAGTACATAAGCCCCTTTAGAGATAGGGGCGAGCAGCAAGGCAGCCCCTTGTATAGGGTTCCAAATCTATCTTACTAATAAGAAGAAAGGGGCAAGCCAAAACCTACTCCTAACAAGTTGCTGGCTTTTCATCAGCCGTTGCGCGCTAGCGCGCTTCTCTTTTTCAACAGGCTTCTTCAAATATCCCATAAATAAAGTAGGGGCATAAGCATCGCCTCTCGATCCAATCCGTCTTTTCTGGCCTCCCCAACACACTCTTGATACGAAAGAAACCTCCCGCCATAGAGAAGAGATCTAAAGTCTGGGTCCCCTCGATCACCCTCCCTTGAACCTGAACTGGTCGAGAGAGATGAACCCGCACCACATTTTATAACCTTCGAATCGAAACCCCCAACTAGAGATGAAATTCCAGAACCTAAACAACTCAGTTGAGAGCTCCGTGACTGGAAAAAGGGAAGGTCCACCAATGATTGATAGGCCATTCCCCCCTATCCGTCTCTTGATCCCTCATTCCACTAATCCGTTGTTACTGATTCATTCAAGGCATAGACTCCCCATTTCTTTGTCTTATCTTATTAGCGCAGGTGTTCGTCAACGATGAAAGCCGCTGAACTTAAGACTCGAGTTGAGAAAGAGGGCTAGGCCCCCGGGAGGGCTTTCAGGGACTGGGGAGGGTGGATTATAGAGCTAGAGGCAAATCGAAGGTTTGTCCATCGAGATTAAAAAACCTCGACTGGGCCAGCATTGATGAAAAAATGAAAAAAAAAAAGAAAAACTTCTCCCATCGCATCATTAACCGGTGTAGGATTCAAGATCAGGTCCAGGATTCGAGTCAAATCGACCTTCCCTCTCATCTCAGGGTGAGGCAAGGAATTGTTTCAAATGTTCCTTGTTCAATATCTCGGCTGCTCAAGAAGTTGGACTAGTTGCTCCTCCGACCCGGAGTGGATTCTAGGGGAAGGGCAGAGCCTCACCTTGCAGTAGGAAAGTGTTCGTTGTTGTGACGGGTTCAAACTGGACTGAAGGGAGGAGGAATTTAATACTCCGATCTTCCTGGGGATTCATCACTGGCTAGGGCTTTCGAATCAAAGCATGGGCATCTGCTATTAAGAGGGAGCAGTAGATCGTCGATTGAAGAGCCAGGTCAGTAAACTTCTATTGGGACTTCTATTGATTATTGATTCGACTCTAGGGACTCCTAGCAGCAAACTTGTATAAAGGGCCCCCATAGATATGCAGGAGATGCCAGCCGGATCGACCAACAAATGATAGGCCAGAGAGATGGGTTCATTCGACTAATTAGTGATCCCTGGGCCTACCTAACACAGATGTCCCTGAAATAGGGGATTGGATTGGTTGATCGGAAAGCTCAGGCAGGAGTAGGACATTCCATACAAATCTTTCTGATCTGCTAGCTGGTGGTCCTCTCAAATCCCATTTTTTCATCGACAGGTAGGGTGAATTCTAAGGTTCCTTATTCCGCTTTACAAGCGGAAGAAGCCATTCTCCCTGCCCCACCAGCAGCCCGCGTTTCCGACCCGAAAGGAATTGAAAATGAAAGAAGAATCTGTGTGCACTATCTATGGAGTGGAGTGACTATCCTTAATCTCCTCTTCCCTATCTCTCCCTTTTTTGCCTTCGGCTATTACCGGCTGGCAACGCTTGGCCCAAGATTGGATTTGTTTGAAAACAACCAAGGTGGCGTTCATTCAATCAAATCTTTTATGCCTAATTACTATTTTTGGAAAGGAAGGAATGCAGGGAACAACTCTTTCTTTTCCACTGGTTCTTGAAAGCTATCAATCCCCGCTTCCCCCATATTTCTTCTCCCTCTCGCATCGGTTCTGCATCAGATGATGAGCCCATGCGAAAACTTTCTCTTTTATTGGCGCCCGATAGGTAGGCTATTAGATTGAGTCGAAAGCCTACCAACGCATAATCCGATTCGAGCGAGAGCCCAAACGGGGGAGGCGAGAAGATCTTGATCGAAAGCTCCACTGTTCTGAATAGTGAGAAAGACTTTTCAAAATTCGATCAAAGCGATCGAGAATCTCATCATCTCTTAGGTGGGCCAACCGACCGAGTTGGGCTGGGCGTCCATGTCACAGAACCTTTCTCTAGCCAAGAATCCCATTATTGATCGAATCGGGGCGGATCCAATTTATTGGCAAATGCAAAATCTATCGTTTTAACACTCAGAAAAAAAAACCTAGAAAAGAGGAAGAGTCACTAAGACAAGAGCTAGGTAAGCAAGCAAGAAGGAGAGGCTAGAAAAGGCGAGGCAAGGGGCTCTCCATCTCTAGGAAGATTGTGTCCAGGATCTGGTAATCTAAGCCTTGCTTCTTCTGGTCGGCTCGTATTAGCCTGTGCTTTATTACAGGTAGTCATTCCCCCGTTCCTACCGTCCAAAACAGGCCTATGGAGTATAGCCAAGTGGTAAGGCATCGGTTTTTGGTACCGGCATGCAAAGGTTCGAATCCTTTTACTCCAGATTATGAACACCCGATCGGATCTGTCAAGAACGAGCTGACGACTACAGGGGAAGCGGCTGACTGCAGTCCCTGAGCCCAGCTTGTAGCAAGCCAAAAGTTTGACTTGAACCTACTTTGCTAAGAGAAGAGAAAGTAGAAGGGAAATCCCCTTCCTTTATAAAATAAAGAGTATGCTCTCGTGACGTAATACCTTCCATGGAAAAAGAAACTTTATTACTTTTGAAACTAGACCGGGTGCTTGCTTACAACTTGCTGTCATTAGACAATTTCATCATCCCGATACTCTTCTTTCCGTTCCGTTCCGGGCTTTCCATCGAGTACACGTAGAATCGCGCTGACTTTGCTTCACTGACTCTAACTACCAAAACTATCCACACAGTCTATAACGGGTACGATAGGGCTTGAAGACAGGAAACTTGAAGTGGAAGCCCTAAACCTAAAGACAAAGACATAAGCCACTTGCTTCCAACTTGTACTTTGACTTTTTCTGAGGGACTAGGCTATCATGGAGAGAAGAGGTTTGGCTATGCTCTATAACTGGCTTCTCAGGTGAGGGTCAGGTTACTCGCTTCATACATGTATGGACTCAAAGAAGAGTCTTCGTCGCATATACGCTGTTAGGCGGGTAGGATAGGGAGGTCGCAGATGAGCTGTATTCATGAAATGAAATGACTTACTTGATTGAACTCTACTTATTGAACGAGTTAGGGAACCTAACCTATTCTCTCTTATAGGACTGAATGACTTCTAACAAACAGGAGTTGGAATGGAGGGTCAAGCTCACTTCGCAGCCTTCTTTCCTTAGCTATAGGAAGAATTAGCCTCTTTCTTTTTGATTTTCTCATTCTAGGGCTTGAAAGCTAAACTACCAACCTTGCCTTGAGAAACCTATTAGAGGATACTGACTTGTCTGATGTATCCTTCCCTCCCTTCCTTATCCATAAGCCCAGAGAGAAAAGAAAGATAAGCATAGGCCTAGCCTAGAACCTAGAATGTAGAATGACTCTGCAACAGAAAGAGAATGAATAGGAAGAGAAGACTAGATAGGATAGTGAGAGTAAGAATAAATTGCCAGTTCCCTAATAGGGATACACTGGATTGGATACTACACCCGAGGTAGCAACTTCCCAAGTCATTCCTCTTTCAAAGAGTCTTCCATAATAAATAAAGGGAGAAGGTTGTTCGACTGAAGCCCGACCTCTATGATTTGAAATGAGTGCAGAAATTTCCCTTTAAGAGAATGATCTTTACAGAAAAAGAGCCCAGAGGTTTAGTCAGCTATTGTCCTCTTTTCTTTTTTCTTCTCGATGAGAGGCTTCCCCAAAAGCACTGGTTTTTCAACCTCCATGGTCTTTCCCAATCTTTTTCTATTACTGACACCTGGAGCCAGATTGCTAAAGCAACTCCCGAACCTAATTCCTAAGGTCACATACCTGTCGAATAAAAAGAAACATAATTTTGATAGTTGGAATCTCCAATAGGGCAGGCATTAATATGAAAAACTCTCCAGCTGGGACATCATCCACAGCTAGATCCTCCTTTAGTTTAGGAGATCGAAAGGGCAAAGAGAGCCACCCGGTCATTCTGGATAAAACTACCACTCTCGTTCAATTGGCCTATAACCATCTTCTTCTCACTAAGGGCTCGAACCATAAGAGACCACTCTGGGTGAAGTTCCACAACATTCCTGTCTCTCTTTGGTCAGCCTACTAGTTTTAGCAAGATCAACAGGAGAAGGGGGGTTTGAGTTGATTGGATCTCGATGACCTCTCCGAAAAAAGGGCTGCTTAAGGAAGAGGCCAAAAGGAAGGCTTCTTCACAAGGCACCGTGACCCAAACTTTGAAATTGATGTGGCTGATATTTGCCTGAAACAACCTATGGTCCGCAATCCTTTTTATCTTAGGCCAAGGGATGTTGAGGCTCAGGTATCACAGGCCGTAATCTAAAAAGTGATTACCCTCAACCCTTTTACCGTTCAAGAAGCAGAGTGAGCAGAGAAGTGATTGCTAATCCACGCGGAAAGGCTTGTTATTACGAATCATGTGCAAATGCAATCAGGCATTCCATAAGATCCCATTCTCTGATAAAGAACCTTGCTTACCTTACTAGCTCTCTTGTTATGAGCATGTCCCACTAGTGGATTCAGTCCCTTCCTTATAGCCTTGCTGTCCAATCTTTTCTACAATCCTTTCTTTCTTCTGGGCATCAATCCCATGTGAGCAAAAAGGCATTTGCTTTGTCCAATTCCTCCCTAACGCCGTACTCTATTCCTCAACAAGTCCCACAGGGCATTCTTCCACTGGCCATTTGAAATCGAACTCTCTACCTTGGGCAGATAGGAATTGAGACTTTCAATGGTCCTCTCTTCTCTCCTCGTGATCGAAGCTGACCCCAGAAGTTGGGTATTCCTTCTTAAGAGGACACTAAACCTCCCGATCTTGCTAGCCGGGGGATCAGTCTTTCAAGATTCAATCTTTCCCCTTCCGGTCCCAGGGAATCGCTCTTATAGTAGGAGGTTGACTATGTCCCCAACTTCTCTTTATTAAGAAACTCGGTTGTGTACTATAATTATAATAAATAGATTGTACCCTAAGCGCTGATCCCAAAGAAAGCAGTTGGCTCTTCCAGCATCCATGCATAAAGAATTAGTAAGTAGGGTCCTCGAAGCCCGCCCGCCAAAGGGCTAAGTCGAGTGATTCCTCTTGTAGGGGATCGTAGCTAGCTATAGTATCACACGATTCTTTCATCTTCTTTTCACATTCATTCTCGGCCGTGACGCTATAGGACCTCGAATTGATTATTAATACGATTCTATTTAATTCATTGACGGTGGAAAATCGTATACTTTCTAAATAAGGCTTTCCTCTTTGTGAGGAATTCCCTCCAGGTTGTCTGCTTTATCGGTGTCACTCTAAGTCCGAGCGCAGGACATCTTATTCACGAACCCCTTTTATAAGAGAATCGGTTTTGTACCCTAAAAGGTGGTTCCATCCTGCATACTATCGTCTATAGTCATTCATTGGTTCATCTCCAGGTTCTGACTGGGCCTTCCCTTCCTTTTAGTTTGAGTCAGCCTCTCTATTATGAAGTAGTTGTTTCCTAGCCCTCCGTCTGTCCTGATATTGAGGCAAGCCCGCTACCCCCTACATTGGGGTAATCCCGATTGTCTTACTGATTCTCTTCCCGAAACAAGAAAGAATTTCTTTCACTACACTAAATAGGAAGTTACATTTGTAGCAGTCCAAGAATTGCTCTATCCCCGAGGTCACTCTCAAGAGTACGACCGGAGGCCCATCTTCTTACTTAACGAGTTTGTGTCGCATAATGTTCCCTTCTTCCGGAGAAAGGAATCTTTTTTTTAACAATGGAATCATGACAACGTCTAGTTCCGCTTCTTGCTCTTTTGCAAGAATGCCTTTAGTAGACGGTCCAACCAACGATTTGAATTCAAAATCCCGGGACAGCTATACCGATGTGTCAACGTCAACGGTACTTCTCTGATCTGATCGAGAATCATTCTCCAACCTGCTTTTAGTCAGGAATCTCGTAATTCCTTTCCCAATCCTGTTCCCAGGGCAGCGCTCAGTAGCAACCTCTCTTTGCATCCATGGCTGAATGGGTAAAGCGCCCAACCGGGAAAATTCGTAGGTTCGATTCCTGCTGGATGCACTTGGAAGGTTCAGTTCAATCGCTGCTCACAGAAGCATTCCGCTTTGGCTTTGGAGCAAGTGACGTGAGCTATGTTTACCATGAGTTTAGGAGATAAGTTGCAGCTATAGTCAGAACAGAACTCCAATTGCATACAATCATTCTTTTTTAGAATATCTATCCGCTTAGCAGGTTTGGCTTGAAAGAAAGGGGAAACCCCTTAATAGTTATCGTAGGGGCGCGGGCCCTAGCACTCCCAATGCCTCTTTGAAGGTCTGGCCCGTCCATTCCAAGAGTGAAGGACTCGGGCTTACAGGCTTTGTTTAGTCAAAAGCCCGCTGAAAGCTATAGAATTTCTGATACTATAGCTCGTTGAGAAAATGCTTTCTTTTAAGCAAAATGAGACTTTCGAAAATAGAAATCTAGCGCCTTTCTCAATGGGTCCTCGGGAAAGTGGTCAATTGGCTTCGTTGAATCGCTTCTTAAAATAAAGATTCTGTTTAGCTCATCGGGCTGGAATATGTACATCGATATGTCGCTCCTACCAATCTCCCTTGTTCTTGAAGCTCTCGCTTTCCCCCCTATCTAATAAGGTAAGTTGCCCCTGCCAATGAAATCCAATCCGCAGGCACACCTCCCTACGTGTCTGCCGCTTTATCTCTACCATATTCATTCCACGCTTTTTGAGGACTTTATAAAAGAAAGGTATGAGAAATAAAAAAAAGGAGTTGAGAATGGCTCATTGAAAGGAAGATCTCTGGGAGCCTTCACTCGTCAACCTAAAAACAGGAAGAAGCTCGTCTTGAAGATGAAGACGGAGGGAGGATGGGAATGAGGTGCAACCAGCGATCAGGAGGGCGTTAAGCCTTGCCTGACTTCCCGCCAGGCCACAGAAAGAGAGGATTTCTTGCTTGCTTAGGAATGAGAATCCCTGAACCCCTCAACTAACTAAAAATCTTACTTAGAATTTTGCCTTGCTTATGCCACTTCTTTCTTCGTCACTCGCCCTTCTGCACAACATAAGATAAGGTTGAGTGCCCTCCCGTTTGATTAGCTCTCTCGCAACAAACAGAGTAACCGAGAATGAATATGTGCTGCGCTTCGACTTAGTCCTATAACTAGTCGACCAACCACCTTCTCCTTCCTAGGAAACCATTTGCCTTTGAATTCCTTTCCTATATAAGCTATCCTCTCTAGGCGACCTCTTTTTATCAATCAATCTCGCTCCTTTTTAAAGATGCGCTCTCACTTCCTTCTTCTTCTGCTCCGTCCAAGCCTTCACTCCCCCTACCTTCAATCGTCCCTCCCTTACCTTCTTCATCCTCTTCCCAACCTTATGAGGCAAGGCCTCGCCGTTCTTGGTCCAATCTTGCTGCTAATCAAGCGAAAACCGCTGAGGCTACTCTCTCTTATGTCGTTCCTTCCATTGTCAATGGGAAAAAAGTTGTGCCCCATGACTTCCATTCAACCTGAGATTGAACCTTGGAAAAACGCAGTTGTGGGCTTTGTTCTTGGTGTCTCCCCTTCATTCCAGAATATGCTTAAGTTTGTTCACAAACATTGGCAGTCAGTAAGCCTACCCAAGATCTATACTTGGAGGGATGGGATTTTATTCTTTGATTTCCCCGGAAAAAGAGCATATTTTGAATTATGGCCTTTTTTTTCTTTTGATAGTAAACCAATGATCCTTACCCCCTGGTCCCAAAATTTGGCTGTTGATAGATTGGGAGTTGCAAAAGTTCCTGTTTTGATTCGGCTGCCTGGATTACAACTTAAGTAGTGGGGAAATGAGTCTTTGGCTAGAATTACCAGCTTAATTGGCACACCCCCTTTTCTCTGACAAGATGAGAGTGGAGAAAGCTAAGCTTGCCTATGCGAGGTTTTCTGTGAAGGTAGGTGTTGATGATGAACTCCCGAATGAAGTGAAATTTATTGGTGAGGACGACAAAGAAATTATTAACGAAATTTGTTGAATATGAATGGAAACCGTTGAGATGTGTTCATTGTAAAGCACTGGGCTATCTGCCTACTGAGTGTGCTTTGGCACCTAAGCGGTAAATATAAGATAAAAATTCCCCATAGATGGGATCGAGTCCACATCTGGCTCAATAGAAGAAAGAGGTTTGTAACCTTAGCTATCAGTTCAATCCACTCTTTTCCATTCCATCGCTAGGAAGAAGGCAAGAAAGGATATGATAAGACGTAACTGGGAGCGAAAGGTTCCAGGTAATTTAAGGCAGAACAGAACCTGGGCCCTAGCGTCAGGGATTGGACCCGGCAAGCTCAGCAACGAGAAGAAGGAATGCCTCTTCTGGGTCACTCCCTCCCGTTGTGTTCTTCTTTCAATGCTTTGCGTGTTCCACGGACAAGGAAATAGCCACTTCTTTATACAATTAGTTAAGAGTGATTCAATTGCTAATAGAACACCGCCTACGATCACTTTCCAACACGCTTACTGTAACAGAACTGGCGCCGGATATGCCAACAGGACGAGACAGACCGCTTATTAAGCCAACAACTTCTTCTTGGTTACACATACACATGTAACCCCCCTTCTTGAAAAGAAGTCATTCTTGCAAGGACCGCTTCTTCCTAGAAGAGAAGACTGGCTAATGTTCCATCTAAGATCACGAGATGAGCTTGTTCAGTGCCACATCTCACAGCTCTAGGATCCAATTTCTCATGAGAGGTCCCCGTTACATAGACATAAGACACACATCCAAAAATGGAAGATACAGATCAAGAATCTATTAACATATTTACGAATCCCAATCCTGGAAATAGAGTATCCCACTTTTCTTTACTACCCAGGGCTAGAAATTAGGTGGAAGAATGAACTTTGGAGCATTAGGATTTCACGCTTGTACAGGTCCCTTTCAATACTTAAGATCTTGATATACGTATTGGCAGTTCAGTTCCTCTAGCATCGGATTGTGGGCATCTTTCTTCTAGTCCCCTGCTCGTACATTAACAAGGGAAGTTGTCCTTCAAAGAGCCAAGTCAGTAGACTTGCCTTCTTTCACAACCGGGTATGTAACAGCTTCTTCTCTTCCTCCAAGCAGTAAAGCAGGAAAGTAAGAAAGGCTAAGAGCCAACAGAGAGAGCTTTCAACAGCCTATGCCGTATTCTTGTCGAAAAGAAGCCCTTCTGGCAAAAAGATTTGGCTTCATTCTGACCTATTCTATTCCCCCACAGCTACTTCTCTAAGACATTGGGCATTTGTCCTTCCACCAGCAAGAGACATTAATGCCGCATCAACAGTAGGTTACGGGAGCCGCTTCCCGGTGATATATACAGTTAGATCGATCCCACATTCGCAAGTGGAAGGACTTGGCTTTAGCCTTCCTCAAGCAGTACAAGCATAACATTGATAAGGCCCCAGATCGCATGGATCTCCAAAACATGGGGAAAAAGGGTGCCGAAGGCTAAGGCAAGGCATTACTTCGAAGAAGTAGTGCTTTCTTCTTTCAAACAGACTCTTTTAATATTCCCCAGTTTCAAAGGCATGAAAGATATATTATTTAGAGATGCGGAAAATACAATACGTTGGATGCTAAGAATACGGTCTTTGAAGGACCCACGGGGAAGGGCTTAGAAGAGATTAGTGCTTTGGTTAACAGTAGAAATTTTCCCTCGTAAGACCGAATTAATTAACAAGCCACCATAGTCAAAGAGTATCTTTTGGGGGAGCCCAGGAAGTTAATTCCCAATAAGGATATCCCCATAGCCAATCTATTAACTATGAAAGGTACCCCAATAGGAAAAGCACCAATGAGAAAGGGCGAATCACCCACCAAAGCTGTGGAAGTAGGGATTCAAGCGAAGAATAGCCCTAGTCTGATAGCGGAGTCTTCTATCTATGACGTATAACCTAAGTGTGGGGATCTGAAGGACACTTTGATAGTCAACTACAAAAGGCCGGCTTCAGTCCATATGAAAAGAAAAAGCAAAGGGTGGCAGCTCTCTTTAATAGGTCTATCGAGCCTGAGTTTGGGCTGTAATGAGAAAGGGGTGTACAAGGCCGGGCATCCGATCTTTATTGTTCAATGTAAGTTCCTTGAATGCTCTTTCTTAAGCAAGCTGAACCTTCATTCCCTTGGGTTAGGATCAAGGTTGGGGTGGTCTTCCTTCTACCTATCGAAAAAGGAAAGGTAAGCGCAAGATAGTGAAGAAATAATCCGATTCCCCCGCCAATGGTTACGGTAATCCAAGTCTTGTTTAGCCGTTTTACCCGTTTGATAAGTAGATCCCCGGTGGTTGTAAGGTAAGGGTTGTCCAAAATCATTGAAGCAACTGGCCGAGCCTTGCCACGGCGACTAGCAGCTGGGCCGGTCGAGAAGTAGTTGGATAGGCCGAGCCACCTATCTACCCCATCCCTTTCAATTCGTTTATCTGTTCTCTTTCTCGCCTCCGAAACAATCAATCATAAAGTCATGAAATGTTAACTTATTCCCTGTTTTCCTTTCTTTATGACCAGCAAAACTCACTCGCGGGAACGGGAGCTGGGTTGGCTCCGTACCGGCTGAGGGCATTAGCACTCGACTGATAGGGATAGGGACAGCTCAATCCGAGCTAATCTCTCCGAGGCCATCAATGTATCTCTTGTCTCGGATTCAGTCTGATTCCCGGCTTCTAGGCTTTCCACCCGGTTGAGAGATGCGATGAGCCAAGCGCGTGCAGTTAGGGAAGTTCCTTCCGTGTCTATTCGATAACCGGCTACGTCAATCGAACTACTCGATTCCTTTGGACCGACTACTGACTGAGCAAGGGATGAGATCGTTCTTTACTCGCTTTCTTCGGTTCAATAGCCACCACTAGTCACAGTTGGGGGGCATGGGATTGACCCATTGATGGGAACAACGGAGAAAGGAATAGGTGAGCTTGCAGAAATCGAAGCGCCAGGATCAGACGAGAGATTGGGAACGGGACCTGCAGGGGGATAGCTTTTATCGAGGAGCAGACTTATGCACCTTGGACTTCTTGGATAGCCGGGTGAACATCTACAACGGTGGATAGGAAAATGTTGGAGTATCGGGGAAGGAAGCGTGAAGAGCCCCTACCTAAGCTATAGCAATAGCGCGAAGGAATGGATTAGGGCGTCAGGCGGGGTAGGTTAAAGGTGGGATAAGAAGAGCTTTTCAGGCTGAAGAAGCCTATTTCCTGTCAAGGAAAAGGGGGGTGTTCTTTCTTTTCCAGAGGGGATGAAGCTGAGCTGGAATTCATGATTCTCATAAGAAGGGATCATAAAGAAAGGCCGGGATTTTCGCTTAAAGCCGATTTCCAACCTGTGACTGAGAAAACTAGATGAATCAAGGTTCGAGGACTGACCGGGCGATGAAGTCAGACCAGCCTTTCGGGTTTAAGGATATTGGAGGAAAGTACTTACTAATTTATGCCTGGCCGCAGGAAAAGCCAACTGGTCTTTCGATCCAGAACAACTAGGAGTCGAGTGGCCCTTTTCTCTCAAAGTCTTTTCCTTGGCACTGAATTCTATCAACCCGGCTTTGAGATTACTGCTAAGAACAGGCTTAAGCTCTTACGCTGTAGCTAAGCTAAGCAATAAGAAGATTCATCTGCTTAACACATGCATATCGGACAAACACGACTGTCTATATGTTTAACACATGCGTATTGGACGATCGCTAGCTATGATCTAATCATACGAAAAGACCGGTCTT